AAAAGCAATGATAGCTAACTGTGAGCTCTTCCTTGTCAACTGCCTCTCATCTCAAGTTTTCCATATCAAATATTTTTGTGTTCCCCTCCTGTCATCCTAATTTAATATCCTCTGATCTACAGTGCTCATCTACATGGCAATACGCTCAAGTTAAATCAACATCCTTTGTTATCTATCTGATTGCGAAACCATTAATTGGTAGCCTCCAAATTTTGTTTGGAAGACCAAGTACACTACATTGTTCCATCAGAAGGAATGGAAGTGCCGCAATGCTAATATTTTTTTTATTTTTTTATTTTTACTTTTTCAATTCTCATATTCTAAAACATTAAAGTTGTAGTCTCGTCAATAATTTTTCCTCTGAAATATGTGATGAATCTCGATCAAAAGCATTTTGATACAAATCCATGATAGTGAAGATAGATATATCTGAACATCAAATCAAATGCTTGTCATAGAACATGCTTGGTTATTTTCCTGGAAAGACATCGTAAAGTTTCCTTCCCTGACACATAGAATGCGCATTTGACCGGTGTGAACTCCAATGACACCTCTATGAAATCAGGATATCTATTTCAGATAAATTGAAGAATATGGAATCACCACCCTAATTGTCAAGTGCTTAGAGAAAGCAGAGATTGAAATTGATTAATTTGCTTCTACCGGTATTTATGCAGCTGAACACAGTGGACAATGAACTTAGCTTTGTTGTAGTCAAACTGTGTGAAATAATAAGTAGAAGTCGCATCACAGGAAAGAAAAACTACATTAGCCTGGGGTTAAGAACGACCATCTCTTGTTCCTCGATTTATTAATTATAATCCATCCCCCATCCCCCAAGAAATTTTTAAAAAAATCCCACACTTCCCGAAACCCATAAATCTAATCCACTATTAAACTAAGAAATAGCTTCCAGACCCAAAGACCAACTTTTAAGAAATGAAAACAACTTAAAGATGCAGACTAGGCCAAAACCAAAAGTTCATGAAGTATAGGATATAAGCAGGAAAAACTATGTAGTTCCGATGTGCAATCAATTCACACATCTAGCAAATTTCGTAAGACATATATGGATTTTGCTTTCACACATAAATCAAAAGCTCATAACATGGAAACAAGGTGCACATTCAGTAAACAGTCAATCAACTCAATCCACGTATGTATGATAGTATATGTCTTTAGATAGTACACAAGGCTCGTAAAAGCTTAAAATGATTTTCACTTTCTTCAAGGAACCTTAAGATATATACTTCCAAGAGTGACAATTTACTAAAACAGTAGCATATACGTAGCGTAATTGATGAATACTAAATGGAATGCCTCCGGTGGTTCATCAGTTCGACCATGGAATAAGTCCATAAACTGAAAAATTCTTTTGAAACTTCAACAATTCCATGCAATCCAAGTAACAGCCTCAAGTCATAGTTGGCATGCCACTCCGAATTATATATAGATAAGTTAAAAAAAGGCCCTTTCAAGAGGCCCTTTTCTAGTGCTTTAAAAAATTACTGAATCTATGTTTAGAATAGAAATAACTCTACCCTTTCTAGTAAAATATCACTGAAAACATGAAAACGCTAATTGCAAATGACAGCTAGAAAAAGTAAAGCAGATTTTAACGACATCAACAAAATCATTCCGACGAGATTCACTAAATGCTTGTTTCAGTTAGTAACAAAAAGTAATTTAAAGCGCAATTCCTCTGTTTATCAATGAGTAATTTACTGGGATATAACTAACTAAAAGAGACTTGAAATTACAAAACATTGCATGCATGAATTTTAAAAAAATTGAGTAATAGTTATAGGGGCGTGTACCTATATATGTCTGGATTGCAGACTGAAGATTAGTGTACTTTTTGTTGGCACACTCTTTGAGCATCGACTCAAATGCCCGCGTCACAAACCCACCTGCTGCACCCCCTGCCATTTTTCCTGCCCTTTCGTCCTCTATTGTTAACTTAGTTTACAGTTTTAAACCGGGGCAAAAAGAATACTCGGATCAGACTAGATCAAACCCGGAAATCTAAAAACTTGATTCGAGGTCTTGGGTTCAGAATTTAACTATTTTGTTAGAGAAAACGAAGAAGTGATTACCTCTTTCCTCTTCACAAGTGCGAAAAATATTAACGCCGAAGAGAAGACAAGAGATCTGGCCAAGAAACAAATGAATTAATTGATGGAGATAATGTGCACTCGCAGATTTGACATTATTGCTACGACAGGAAATGTGACATGGATCATGGAAGCAATAAACCACATAGTCGCATTGGCTCGTGTTAGTGCGAAACCGCAAGCGGAAGGATAGTTGACGAGTAATACTGTTGAATAAATTTCTTATTCGAAGTGAGCAAACAAAAAAAATTGTGTTTGATAACTATTCTAAATTATTCTATAAAAGCTTGTAAAATTTGAGTTTTGTATTTATATGAAATGAGTATATTGGATTACGAATCCACCTTTTTTTTTTTTTTTCAATTCTCAATTACTAATAGTAACATTCATGCATTCTTGACAATCAATAATTCTATTGTAATTAATTCTCTTTTTCAAGACAAATTAAATCTATTTTAATTACGACCAGAATCTATTCCTAGTCCGAATTCGAATTATTAGAATGCATTAAAATTTAGATTATTTCAATGATTGCACACGTGATAAACATTATTTCTAATATCTATTACACGCACGTTAATCCAGCAATGTTGTAGACATATTGTGAGTTATTCAGCACTTACAACAAGCAACTATATATATTAATTGGTGATCAAGCAATCAAATAATAAAATTATACGTGCAAGATTAATCAAAAAAAACAAGAAATTAACTAATTACTTGTCTTGAATTAAAAATAATTACTAACAGGTTTCATTTTCATCCAATACTTGAAAAGACTTATCCTAGCATGATGTTATGTAAATTACACAAAAAAATTTGGAAAAAAATCAACTGGAATGAAAAACAATTATTGGAAAGTGAAAAATCAATTTCTTCTTTGTTAATCTTCAATCCAGATTTTAAATCTCCAATCTCTTGTGTTAATTGTTTTTAAATCTTGTGCTAGCCTTCTTCTTGTGGTGAAAAATATGATTTGATCACTTCTTACCGTTCACGCCGCCCCCTCTAGGTTAAATAGTAGGTTGAATTTTACTTCCATAAAAATTTGAATCAAATTAGGAAATTGGACCATTCAGACCCAAAAATTGCCCTCGCGCGCCGTTGAGCCAAATGACTCTCCGGTCGGGGAAAATAAGGTGTCACACGCACGCCATGAATTGTCGGCACGGCACAAGTCACCTTTGTTCGTCCCTGAGCAACTCTCGGTATTTTGGCATAATTTTCTCTACAGATATCTAATTGAGGTGATTCAAAATGAGTTAAAAAAAGGTAATTCAAATTACTACAATTCTTCTTGAAATACAATTTTTCCAATTCGAACGTTTGCTATCCGAAAAAGGGGTCTCGAGTTGATGCTAAAAATTCGTAGCATAACTTATTCGACTGGAAATGATTTGTGATAATACTTCCACTATATTTCACTCATTTGGCCTCCAATTGCATCCAATTGATCCTATATAATCTTCAATCATCGTTTTGTGATCCGAACCAACTATTTGATGTTTACATTTTGGTCCCCAAAATTTGGATTTCCTTCGTTTTTGCACGTTTTTCGTTCATTTCTTCCAAATCCATCAATTTGCACTGAGTTCAACCAACAAACATAATTATCACAAAATAAGTTATAATTCATCTAAATCACTAACAACTACTCTAATTTAATTGTTTAAATAAGTGTACAAAATACACTTATCAGCTCGTACTGTGATGTTAATACAAATTCGACAAATTATTTTTTGGCAAATTATATACTTAAAATTCGAGTGGCGAATTAACTTATTTTTAAAAAATTCACCATTGAACAAATTTTGTTAATTAAAATATAGTAATTAATAATTTTTAAATATTTTTACAATATTAGAAGAGTCAAATGAAAATATTTCTTAACTTCTAATATTTTATTAACAAAACTGAATTTTTATATTTCTAGCATTGTTCAACCAAACAACATGCCACAATTGGAGTAAACTCCAATTGCGCAACCACTAGGACGCAATGCGTCGGGAACACAAACGGCTAACGGAATTGTTGGCATGTACTGGGGTCGAATACAACCCGTCGGGGGGTCGAATTGTAGCATCTGACGAATGGTGGACCCGAAAATTGAAGGTGAGGTTTTTTAATAACTGTTTGACATTTATTTCGACATGTATATTGTGGTCAATGCGTGAGATTGTGGTTGTGGTTGTTGATTACATCAGGTCTACTTAGTTCTCATTTGTTGTTTTTTTATTATGATGTAACTCTTGTCACATTCAAAGTGGCTGCAAAATGTGTTACACGATGCATTTACAGCTGACGGTAGGGATATTGAACTTGTAACGAGAACTGGAAGTAACATTTTCGCGGTTCATTACTTAGGAGCAGAATCTGATTGCAGGACTTACCTTTGTGATCAAATTTTTGTATCCATAAGCTTATCTCTTACACTCACCAGTCATCTAGCATGAGAATTGTATAAAATTTCTTGAATTAAAACGGCCACACATATGGATTTTTCGTTGTCAAATTACATTACGATATCCACGTCATGTTACTTTTATCAAAAGTGTTAACGCAATTGCAGGAGAACAAGGAGTACACGGACTTCAAGGACAAAGAAGTGAGTGAAATCTATGTTCGATATCGTCATCTTTTCGGCGATAGCCACGACGATGACAAGTGGATTGTGTGGTAGTTTAATGAGCGTAATAAGTGGTTTGTGTGGTAGTTTAACGAGCGTAATAAGTCTCTCCATTAATTTATGCGTCAACCAACTCTACAATACTTGTTTTATTCAAAAAAAAATTCTTCTATACTTTTTGCGGATAATTACAGTTGATATTGTGCCTTTATCGTTTGTATCGGACGTTATGTTTTCTCAAGCATGGGTTTAACTTAGTGAGTGATCGTTTGAAATGTATAATTTATTTTTTTGGGTAACAAATAGTGCAGGCATGAGTGACAACTCCTACGTACAACTTCCTTTTGGGAACCACGTTTTAACAGCAACAAAAAGTATCACATGCTAAAAAAGTAAAAGCGTCCTATTTTTTCAAACCTTGTGGTACAATTATTTGAATTTCACTCAAACGAAACACGTGCAATGATTCTTTACTCTTATATAACTTTGTTGGTTAAACACATGAATGATGAATTTTCGTTCAGTGTGTAGAAATCTTTGTAATATTGCAAATATCAGTTATCTTCATTTTCCTACAATTGATGATCTCAACTTCAATTGTGCGCTTTTATCGGGATTCGACAATGAAGAAGAATTCGATGATAAGGAGTTTCTTAGCCAACTGGTGGAAGCCATCACGACATGGGTTACATATTGTCAAATCCCAGCAAGCGATGCCAGGAACTACTATCTCAAAAAATGTTGTCGTATTCGACGATTCCCGTTTTCAAGAAATGGATACAAGTTCATGAAGGAAGCAATTGAAGATAACGGCAAGATGTGTTAACAAGAGTTCTGAATGTATCCACAACTACTTCGACACTTTGCACATATTCTGCGGGACGAATATGGCTTACGCAGTAGCCAACATGTTGATATCTACGAGCAAGTCGGAATGTTTTTGTGCATATTAGCGCATGGAAAATGATACTGTTGGTGACTACTATTTTCAATCATTCGTTGTAAACAGTATGCCATTATTTTAAGGAGGTACTCACTGCTGTCGTCGCCTTATCGGCACGTCTCATACAACCAAGACCAGACTACAACGAGGGTGAGGAGCCCACAGGCCGAACCCGACGAAGCATCCTTTGTTTCAAGATTGCATTGGTGTTATTGATGGAACGCATGTAAAAGCTATGCTACCGCATAACGAGCGGGAGAATTTTATAGGCCGCAAAGGAGTGCCGACGCAAAATGTGTTGGTCGCATGCGATTTCAATTTGTATTTCACATTCGTGCTTGCTGGTACCACCGGGAATACCCACGACGCGAGAATACTAGCGCGTGCTATACATAGTCCTGAAATTCATTTTCCATTACCCGGCCCGGGTAAGTATTATTTGGTTGACTCCGAGTTTGCTCATCGACTGGGCTACATGACCCCTAACAAATGATCAGATATGTTGTATCATTTTCAGGAGTTTCACGATGATGGATCCGGTCGTCGTCGCCAGTTTCGAAATGCTAATGAGAGATTTAACTACAGACACTCGTCCTACAGAAATGTCATAGAATGAGCGTTTGGTGTGTGGAAAAAAAGATGACAAATACTTGATCGTATGCCTAGCTATTCGTTTCGAACCCAAGTTGCTGTTGTTGTCGCAACGATGGGTATTCATAATTTTTTACGTCGGTCTGAAGTTGTGGACGAGGCATTTGATAGAGAAGAAACAGATGATAACTCGTTCGAGGTTGACCAACCTAACGTCGAAGACGAAATTAGGGCTGTAAATGGATCGGATATGGATCGGATCTGCATAAATCCGATCTGATCCGATAAGAAAATTTATCTGATCCGATCCGATAATCCAACGGATATTTAATTGCTAAATCCATATCGGATTTGTAATGTTATCGGATATTCGATCCAAAATTAATAAAAATTAGGGAAAAATTTTTGAACTAACTTGAGGCTCACCTATTTTTCCTAACAAGCTCAATAGTGACTTCTACCATCATAATGTTCCTTTTTAAANATAAATATTTTATTTCATTATTTCTATTAACAAATCAAATTATTTGTTACCAATTAATTAATAATTTTTGAAGTTGTAAAATAAATTATAATAATAAATTTAATTAAGAAAAATATAGATATTTATTTACTTTAAATTAGTAAACTAAAATTAGAAAAAACATTGGTTGAAATCAATTTTTTTTTTATTTTCTAATTCTTAAACAAGTTTAATAATTGTAAATTTTTTTTTAACTTTTTTATGTTTTGATTTTGATTATTTTTTATTTTAAATTTATTTATTTTAGTGACAAATAATATGCCATAAAAATATTTTACCGACTCAATTATTTATAACAAATCGGATCAGATTGTTATCGAATCGAATTGAACTACATCCATATTTGATCCATTTTGTTAACGGATTATCGGATTCAGGTCTTGATTGGGTTATCAGACAAAGACCCTAAATCCATCTCCCATTAATTTCGTCAGATTCGGATCGAAATCCAATCCATTGACAGCCATAGACGAAATCCACGCCGAAATGAATGCACCGAAAATGCAGCAAAGTGATTGGGGCCGACTTCGCAATTATAAGGCACAACAACTTTGATCTTCACATTTTGTGCGAAACGTGACTTTTTCGAAAATGTCTAGTGTTGTACGAACGTGGAAATATAATTCGATGTCTCTGTTGAATTTAATAATTTTCGGATTGTACGCGCACAATCAGTAAATAATTGAATAAATAGATTCTTCCAAATTTGGCCTGTAAAAAATATGCACGATACTTGAACAACGCAAATTGTATATTACATGGAACGTACCTTGTGGTTGGACAATAATGTAATGGATTGGATATTAAGTATTTTGAATCAAAGTGCACAGGTGGAAGAGCGAAATGGGAAAAGTGGAAACATTTCAACTTGAAATGATTACATTTTTACCGTAGCAGGTGTGCTAACAAGACAAAATAATGCATTTTTTGTGTAAAAATGGGCACCAAAAGTACATACGCTAAACATCATGATGTGATAATCAATTATTCTTCACATTTTTCTCTCTCCTCCCATCTTTCTCATAAAAATTGAATTACTCAATCACATTATTTTAAACAGACTATCACATCACCAATATTTAATCATCATAATGATAAATAGTATTATTCTTATTCAAATGAATGAATCTGATTGATTTGGATATTCACTACCTGGTCTTTGCAAAACTTGCTATATGTTGGTTCATTTTCGATTAAAATATCCACTCATACTAGCCAACGCCACCCACCCATTTCATATTCACCCGTACTAAAATACCACCTCCACAAAATACACAATGCTCTTTTTTTTTTGCCTATGCAATGTGTAAAGCACGTACAAAGGATTTTACGAGTATATTACCCTCCTTAACCTCTATTTTAACAGAAAAAAAATCTTTTATAAGTAATACACAATAATTTTTCCATAAAATAAAATGAGACAAATTTGCAAGAGAAAAACTCCGAGAGAATAATTACAAAATGGAAATTAAAGAAGGACCGCACGCGTACACGTGCAGCCAAGCTGGTAATTGCAGGTGGCCTACCAACACGGATTTCCTCTCTAACATCTCTCGAATTTTCCCAACAAAAAAACTCTCTCCAAGAATCATCAAATAAGCAAAAAGAAGAAAAAAAAAGAAAAGAATAGAGAATCAGCTTCTCTCCGACTCCATTACAACCTTCACATTTCCTGTGCAATTTGTTCTTGAAAAGAAGGGAATATCACCTTTCCTGTTCCTTTCCACCCCACTTCTCTTTTACTTTCAGACCATACACATTCATATCTTTCTTGCATGTATGCATGAAGCAATGAATAAAATATTCCAAAACTGCTTTTTTGAAAGCAACAAAATAATTAAAAAAAACTGGCCCCTTACTCTCTTTATTCGTATTTGACTCTCCCTTCTTATATTTGGGTTTTCTTGAATTCACTGCACCGAGTTTAATGGCGGAGGTGCCTGTGGATTTTGAGGTGGAAATAGAGGGGGAAACTGGGGGTGCGAAAGCTATTGAGGGCGTTCTGGGGATTTCACAGACACATCCCAGTTCCAGCTGCACAGGTACTTTCGTTTCTTTCCTCATTTTTTTTTTGGTTGTTGTCGGCAAATGAAAATAGTGGACACAGTATCTCTTAGAGGCTTAGAGCAGCAGTTTGGGTTTGGAGTCAGCATGTGGTACATCGTGCTTTAGTGGTTATACTTTTGATCATTGATATACATATTCACGTGTAGCTAATGTAGTTTGATTTAATTTCCAGATACTGAAAATTATCGTAGATGATTAAAATCGAGAATTTTATTGTGGGAATATTTATATGCTAAAATAGTTTTGTCTCTTTTAATTCATTGCACACTATTTTTATAGAAAATATGCCGAATTTTTCAATTGATAGAGGTTTTTGGAGATTATAGGATTAATTTGCCAAAAGAGTTTTTTATTTATTTGAAACCTTATGGCCAATACAGTTGGGCAACAAATTAGGGTTGAAAGATTTTAAGGCCAAGTATTTTTGGGGTCTGCTTGACTTTGGGTTGATGGTGTGAGATTTAAGATTTGAACTCGGCAAGCTTAATCTCAAGAAGAACAAGAAGCGAGTTAAAGAAAAAAGATTTAAACCAGCAAACAATCTGAGAATATTTTACCTAAGTTTGGATTCATCTGTGTAATTTTTGTAAACTTAAGTACCTTTTCCCTATAGTTTTTTTTTGTTATCCCCTGCTTTGTGTCATTTTTTTGGAAAAACATTGTTTTGAATAGTAAATTTTTGGGAAATGTGTGGTTACAAAGTGGGAAAAGGTTTTGAATTTACGTGTAGAATATTTTATCGTGTGAATGTGTGGTTGAAAATGAGTATTTAGAAAAAAGAGTTTTGAAATAATGGAAGACAAATAGTGGCTTAAGAATGTTATGTTGCACCCACCCTTGAAGTTTGGCTAAGAAAAACTAAATTTATGTAGGATTGTTTTTAAAGTTTCTCGTAATACCATAATACCTTCTATGAGTTAACTCTCCGTTAGAGATCTCTTTAGAGCACTTTCAGGGCCTTTGATTAGACGATCTCTAACTCCTCAGACCCCCTAATGCTCTCTGATTCACCTCCAGGCCATATATGTAGTAGGCCAACTTTGAGGCCAAACATGAAATTGTGTCCTAACCATTGAGTGTAAATGTTTTGATGTTTGAAACTTTCATCCTTGGTTGTGAATTTGGATTATTAGGTTTTGGGGTTCATTTATGTTGAGGAACAATGCTAGACACTCTTCATCCTCCGTTCTAAAGAATAGCTGGTTTGGCTAAGACTAAAAGTTACTTTCCACAAATCAAGAAAAGTAAGTTTTGTTACTAAAATTAAAATTTAAAATCTATGTTTGTCAAGAAAGAAGTTTAAAAGTAACTCTTTCTTCTTTTTAAGCTTAGCTGAACATGCTCGCATCATTTATTCATAGGCCGCTTCTCTTTAAGCCTAGATAGTAAAGAGGCAATTCTTGGATCATTGGCAGCTTTTGAGGGCTACTGTACTCTTAATCCCTCTAGCATTATAGTTTCTGTTTTTTCGCTTACTCGTTGGTTCTGCTCACTTTTTATAAGCTAGTTTGTTCACGTGTTTGATGTTTGGTCTGATTTTTACTGCTTAGGATCTTTCGACAGGAGTTTGCCTGGGCAGAATTCCAAATGTCTGGAAAAGTCAACAGATGATAAATCAGATCCCAACTTTAGTCAGCTTAACAGAATTCAGAGAAACAAAGAAACTCACACTCTCGGTGTGCTCGGGAAAAAGTTTTTTGACGATAAAATCCCTCAAAAAAAGAAGGTTAGCTAAAATTTGAGAATTTCGGTTCAATAATCAGTAGATGAAAATTTGTTCTAATATTCAAACCTTGTGTGGGGGAAAAAAATTTAGTGACAGAAGTTAGTTTATATAAGAGAATTCTATAAACAAGTTATGAAAGATGTAACTATTTCGTTGGTTGAATTCATCTTATCAAGCTATTGCCTTTTAGACTTGTAATGTTTATAGTTTCTCTATTAAATGGATACTATTTTAATGTTCACAAGCATTGGGATTTCTAATTTTTTAGTCTTTACCTAAAAGTTTTATGTATCTCCCATCTTATAATATAAATTTTGATGAATTAATTTCCCCCCGATTTTATTTCCAGTTCTATTTGTCAGATGATTGCAATATGTAGTTTTTTTTTTCCTGCAAGTTTTATCACAATTTTTTTCTTCTTAAATCTGAATCGGCACTATTTCTCAAGAAAAACGATAATCTAATGCATATGGTCCTGACTTTCTTGATTTTGCAGCTTAAATGGTTAAAAAGATATGCCACCATTCAAGATGACGGAACTGTGCAATTTGAAGTTCCAGGAGACATTAAACCTCAAAGCCTTGATTTCAGTACGAGTGTAAGATATAATGGATATATGGATAAAGAAGATGCTCCAGCATTGCCTCCACTTCAAATTGTTATGCTTATTGTCGGAACAAGGGGAGATGTACAACCATTTGTTGCTATTGGGAAGCGCTTACAGGTAAAATTAACCTTTTTTGGGTCTACAGAAGATTTTTTTGTCTAGTCATGTGTGTGCATAGACATATTTTTCCTTCTCTAGTTATGTGCTATATCCATCTATGTAGCATCACTTTTTTTCTGGGAATATGCTTAAGCAGAAGCCAAAACACGAGAACACAATTCTGGAATTTGTCACATGCGGAACCCAGCCATGCGTTTTGGGTCCTTTTGAAACATATGAAATTTAAAATGTCCATACTGGTACTCGTAGGACAGTAAAAGCAAGAAGCTAAGGTTTATTCCTAGTACAATTGGTTTGGCTACATGAATAATTTTGCACCACTGCAATCTTCCAGATGTAGTGGCAAAAAAGAATTCATGTAACCAACCTGAAGTGGAAGAAGTCATAGGAGCGGGGTGAGGGACACGAACGGATTTGACGAGTAGGCTGAGATAAAGAACTCCAACAGATGAGCAATCCAGCCTAAGTAAAACCCCAAAAACCTAAGGATGAGGTCGGATATGTTATTGTTTGGCCTCATTTTGTAAACCACGACCCCTAAAGAAATTTAAGTTTACTGTACCAACAGATTTATCATGTTACATTGTAATTTTAATTTTGTGTTTTCTTTCTCATTTATATTTCATCATTTCTTGTTTCTGCGACTGGATAGCTGCAGTTGGAAGAAACTGGTCTTCTGTATGTTGACCAGTAAAGTGGGGAAGGATATTTATAGATCAGTTTGCTTGCATATATCAGATGAATATGAACATAACCGCACGTCCACACTGTATTATAATGTAATTCTGATATTACACTCTTGATCTTTCATTCTCGATGCTGATGCCTGTTACTACTTTTGTTCATACCTTCTTTGCTTTCTTTTCTGTTTCTCATTTTCTTTGTTTCCTGTTCTTTTAGCTTTTCTTTTATGTACATCTGTCATTTTAGTATCTTTCAACTTTTTTCTAGATCTGGACCTTACGATTTTTAATCACTAGTTTTCCATCTATGGCCACCATGCTGGTCATGTGATATTAGCATTCTTTTTTCGTGTTCATTTTAATTTTTTTACTCAGATCTATATTTTCTCTCCACTCCCCACTTTTTGTTTGTAACTCGTGAAATTTAATATTGAACAAATGATGAATTTATAAAATAAACTTTGTTGGCCTTGAAAATTTTTGGCAGGAATATGGTCATAGAGTAAGACTAGCCACTCACTCAAATTTTGAAGAATTTGTTTTGTCTGCTGGGCTGGAATTCTACCCTCTTGGTGGAGACCCAAAGGTCCTAGCTGCTTGTAAGTTTTCAGTCAAAATACTATTTGTCTTTGAATATTTTTATTTTGGCCTGTCGGTGATGTTAACTAATCTGATATTTTCAGCATACTTTGACAATGAATTCATATATATGTTCTGTAGAAAGAAACCTTTGATTGGAGTGTATTCTCGACAGCTATTGAATGTTCAATTAGGACTGTGAGGCATAGTATTTGGGAACAACCAGATCCAGCGTTCAGTAGCTTCATGAAATTCATTCATGAAGGTGTTAAAACTATATTTGGTTGAAAATGTAAAAATATCAGAAACTTGGGACAGGTACCGATGTTTAGTAACTCTATATCTTTACTGCATGACTTCAAACTAATTAATTAATTCTTTGTATAGTCCTGGATTTACTGTGATTTGAGGATGAGAGTACCCTAACTGCAGCACATTGAAAGAAATTGTTAAGAATTGGGGTTCCATCTTAAAATGTCAATCTTATTAAGATGAGTAACTAAATCCTTTATAAGCTGGTTTATGTTTACATCTTTATTCGATGTGGGATTTTATCTCTTAACATGCTCCCGCAAGATGATGGCTCGTTTGAGCAGACCAATCTTGAAATCCGTATGCTCACTTTTGGAGTCTTTATCAGATCGAATTGCTCGTTAGAGCTTAATGGGCTCTGATACCATGTTAAGAATTGTGGTTCCATCTTAAAAGATCAACCTTATTAAGAGGAGTAACTCAATCATTTATAAGTTGGTTTATGTTCACAATTGTTTGGCATGGTCCATGCTGTGCGTGAGTGGGCGTATTAGAGTTCCACATTGGCTGGTGATATTTACATGATCCACTTAATAAGGTGAGGACAATCATCTCTTAACAAGCCGATTTTATTAGGTTGAGTTAGCCCTAATATCCTTTCTAATATGGTATCAGAGCAGACCTAGTTTTGTAATGTTGGGTGCACCCAATATCGATTTGTTCACAGTTGTTAGGCATGGTCCACACTGTGCGTGAGGGGGCGTATTAGAGTCTCACATTGGATGTTGATATTTACACGATCCACTTAATAATAAGGTGAAGGCAATCCTCCCCTAACAAGCCGATTTTGTTAGGTTGAGTTAGACCCAATATCCTTTCTACTAGAAATTAATAACCTACCTCTAGCATAATAATCTCGGATTTACTTTTATTAGAGAATAAGAGGAATCCCTCTGGTTTTAATCGAGGTTTTTATGCTTGAGATTTTACAGATGATACTTAACTTCAACTTTGAGGTTCTCAGAGAGAACAAAGTTGCCCTAAAATTGAAAATTACACCATCAAGCATCAGATTCTTTGCAGGTTAAGTCAGGAGGGAAAGCTAGAAATATACTAACTTGTCCAGTCTGAAAATTATGTCCTTTTGGTATCTGAAATAGGTTTTTCCAGCCTCAGGTTTCAGTATCTCCAAATGTTTCTCTAATATATCTGTGTGTTATGTGTTCTACTAGAATGCCATTATTGTAATGGAGTATGCCTTTGATGTCCTGGATTGGATTTTCCATTAGAAAACTATCATACTTCAGCATTGAATTGAAAATAGATTTTTTCTGTTATGTTACAAAAGGCGAAACCGATATATTACTCCAACCAATCCAATCCTGAACGTCAACTATAAAAGACTATACATATTAAACGGTGGCTATTATACGTGCTGCTATTATGGTAGCAACTGGAAGCTTTCTTGTAGCTCACTTTTTTCCTCTTATTTATATTTTTTAAATACTAGCCGAGTTTTGAAAGTTACGGAAGATAGTTCATGTTTGAGCCAACGAAGCTCTCCCCCACACCCAGCAAATCCTAAAGTCGAAAATTTATAAAATGACTCTAGAATAACACGATTTGAGATTCAATATAATACTGACTGAAAATTTCTGCATGAAAATGAAAACTAAATGATGAGAAAGGACTTCAAGTGTTGATGTATTGATACAGCCATAGTTACAAACATGATAACTGCTAAGTATGAATTGTTTTTCTGTTTACTTTGATGAAATATCTTAAGACAATCATTCAGCTCTGTCTTATTGGTTCGTTATATTATTTTACCGTATGTCTATTTTCTCTAATTTATCACATAAGATTTTAAGAGATGTGTACTTTCCTTCCAATTCACTCTCTCTGGCTTCAGATTGTAATCTCAAATCAAAGTAATAAAGTTCAATGAAAGAATATTCTTTTTTGCAGACATGGTCAAGAATAAAGGTTTCTTGCCATCTGGACCTTCTGAAATACAAATTCAACGACATCAAATAAAAGAGATCATATTTTCTTTGCTTCCTGCATGTGTAGACGCTGATCCCATTACAGAAGTTTCATTCGAGGTAGATGCAATAATTGCCAATCCGCCTGCATATGGTACGATGATGTATTTTTATATATATATTTTTTTGACCTGTTAGTTAAATTTACGTTCACTTTTGAAGACACCGTGATTTTTAGCTTAAAAGTTGAAAACATTTTATTGATAGCACCCTACCATCCTCATCACCATTCTCTCGATCTTTCCTCCAGTACATCTCCCTCTTTTGCTCCTCTCAAGGTCTTTATTTTCTTCCTTTCAGATTACGATGAAATGAAATGAATTTTTTGTCAAACAAAGAAGAAACCAACTGTAATCAGCTAATGGACAAACTAGAGTAGCTTATAGATATTCAGGTTTACTGTATCAAATTTATGGTGCATAATTCCATATTAATTCTTAAGGGCTGCAATTTACCATGTTGGTTTATTTTCCTTTTCTAATCCATTTGCATGTCCTCAATGTTCGGAGGGCGCAAGTTTATTAGATTAGGGAGTAATGGGTCCTTATAAGAAGTGATAGACTGTAACATGTTGATATTTAGCTGATTCTGGATTGTTTATCACCATCTCGATCAATAAACCTGTGAGTGTAGGCAGTGATAATTAAGTACTGCATCTCAGATGAATATTAACATAGCTCTGTGATTTTGTACTGAAGGCATTCGGGATAACTTTTCTTCACTTCGTAGTTTGCTCGACGCATTATTGAGATGTTCAAAATTTAGTAGTGGATGGTTCCTCGAATCTTGTTTGTATTTTTGAAATTCGAAGGTTCTCACCTGACCATTTGCACCTGCATTTTTTAGGACATACACATGTTGCCGAGGCTCTGAAAGTACCGCTACACATATTTTTCACAATGCCGTGGACGTAAGTTGTTGAACATTTCTTATTCAGCACCCCTACATTTGTGATCCCTTGGAATTTTCTGAATGGATTGATTATTTCCTTTTCAAAAAATGGAAGAATGGATTCAAGTTTTCCTGGTCGAGAAAAAGAAAATATGGGTTTCTTCAAATTATTTTTCTTATACAGTGCTGCATGTATCATAGGGGTTGCACTGTTGGTCTAAGAGCATGTTTGGCTAAGCTTAAAAGCTTACACACAAGATTTCTTAGAAGTATATAAGTTTACAATATTTTTTATTTATTTTTAATTATTATTGGTTAAAGTTGGAAATAAGTAATTTACGAACTCAGCCTAAGAGTTACTTTTGAAAATAGTAACTTCTCTTGTAAGTACGAAAAAAGTAAGTTGTTAAAATGTGTTTGAAGACAAAAAGTTTTAAGTAACTTTTACTATTTTTCAGCTTAGCACACGTGCTAAATTAACTTTCATGTCATCTGTTCAACGTTGAGAATTTTTTCAATTAAATTTACTTTCTATGGTAAATGACTTCTTTGCTCATTTTTCCTATCTTCTTTACCTGTAGCCCTACCAATGAATTCCCACACCCACTTTCTCGCGTTAAGCAACAAGTTGGATACAGAGTGAGCACATATTAATACTCGTGTATATCCTTTTGTTTGACATATTGCAGAATAAATTTTCGTAGATTGATTCTATGTTCTAAGAAGTTAATTGCTAATTGCAGCTATCGTATCAAATTGTCGATTCACTAATCTGGCTGGGAATACGGGACATGATAAATGAGTTCAGGAAGAAAAAACTTAAGCTAAGGCCTGTTACATATTTGAGTGGTTCCAATAATTCTCCAGATGTACCATATGGCTATATTTGGAGTCCTCACCTAGTTCCCAAACCAAAAGGTGAGCTCTCTCTGTTCCTATAACAGAATAGCAACGGTAGTTGAACATTATAATTTAAACGAGGTTGAAAAAAGCCTTAGTTTACGAGAAGATTTTTTTCAAGATATCCGGGGTTAAACTCCATTCCAAAATATGCATTTTAATGTACTCTAATGGCCAAGAAGCAATAAATCAATTACAAAGGAAGGAGTTCATTTTCCACAACTTAAGTGCCTCCTAGGATTTCTAATCTAAAAAATTATTTCAAGTCCTTTCCAAATTTAGTGCATTTCGTCTATGAATTTCTGTGTATTTTCAGCATTTGTTTTTCTCATTTTCAACGCTAGAGTAATTGGAGGTTAAGGGAAGTTTATAGGGGTTGTATTTCAAATTTGAAATCAAGCTACTTCCTCCTACTCATTCCCAAAAGCTATCTGTGCCAGTTTCCAACCATTATCAAGTTGTATAGAATCAACTCAGATTGAATTTTCACAACCGTGTTACATTAGTAAAGGGATTTTTTGTTCTGCTATTAGTTTCAAGATACTTATTTTTGCATTAGTTATGGAATACCAAGTGCTAATATTGGATTGTTCATCTCGCAGGTATTCTTTTCCCATCTCTCTCATAACACTTGTGAAAACCATGGGAGAACCTTTTATTTTATTTGAGAACCAAAAGAAACCTCCTCTGGTCTCACTTACTCTCAAAATGAAATTTCCTCTACATCTAGTGAAGAAGGCCTCAGTTAACATGGATTAGAGTAATATAATGCTCCCACATCATGTCATGTCAGTTTGAAAAATGTTAAAGTCGTATGATGGAGCGTATGATATGCCTGTAGTAGAATTAACAACATAATCAAACCATGCCTTTTCCCAATAAATTTGGAGCCGGCTATATAAATTCTTTTTTCTCTACTTTGTTTCCAACGTGTTTATTGTAAAGTTGTATCAATATGGCAACTCTGCCTTCCATTGATGTGAGAATGAAAAAATACGTATGAGGATTTATTAATGGCAACCAGGTGAAAATAAATAAATTTGTTGATACTTTTTTGTTTTTGAAGGTTGGCTGGTATTTTTTCTGACATTGTTACCCAATAAATTTGGAGGCAGCTAACGTTGTTAAATTTTTATGATTATTCCAACATGTTAATCATAAATCATATATCTTGATATGGCAATTCCACTTCCATTGATGTGGGAATGATAAAATACATATGAGGACTTTTTCGAAGTAACAAGGTGAAAATAAATAAATCTATTATTACTTTTTTTTTTTGAAGGTTTGCATGCATCTTTGTTGACATTGTTAATCCAGATGTATCAATGGATTTGTGATCACTGATTAAGCTTCTTATCTGTTTATTCAAACAATTTATTTACCTCTCAAAAACAACGTTCTAATTTTTAGCATTCTTATAGCCTTATATTTCATGGCTGCAGATTGGGGATCCAAAATTGATGTTGTAGGGTTTTGTTTCCTAGACCTTGCATCGAATTACGTACCACCAGATTCACTTGTGAAATGGCTTGAAGCCGGTAAAGAGCCTATTTACATTGGTTTTGGCAGCCTTGTAAGTTTCATGCTTCGGTTCCTTTTTTTGGTTTATATGAAATGACACCCCATCCCCATCCCCTGCCCCACCCCAACCCTCCCATCCAAAAAAGAAGAAAATATCTGTATGTTCATTATAAGAGTAGACCAATCGCTCTTCTTAATGGTTCATTCAGTGATAGAGCGAGCAATGCTACCTCAAACTTGCATGTGTGCAACTCACCTACAATGAACTGGTCGGGAGATGAAGAGGCAGAAATACAGTATAAGATATATGTTGAAACCACCTCATTAAGATCTTAGTTATTAGAGATGGGTGAATTATTTATCCATAATTATATCTTCAACACGTCGTGTCGCTTCATGGGTATACCTGATTTTTTAATGAAAGGCTTGATGCGTGAGATTTTCGTAATTGGGGAGTGACGAGACCTAAATCAGGACATTTCCATGCGTTGATACCATGTTTAACCACCTTTACTAAAAGCTTGATAAATTAAAACAATATCCACTGAAATCTTCTAGTTAGGTTTTGTTTGGTTTGACAATGGGTCTGCCAACCATGATGGAAATTGGCTGAAAGTAAACTTTCCAGATTTTACTATAGCTGGAGTTTTCTCAGTGGTTTTGTCATATCCTGAATATAATATAGTTTGTGAAAGAAAATGCGATGTTCAAGTTTATATCTTGCTCTTTATGTTGACTCCTAATTGTCAATTGTTAGATATGACATTTTCTCTCTTCTCTGATAATGAATAAAGAGACGTCACCTGGCAAGAGAAATAACAATAGGGAAATGCTACTTGTACCACCTGGTTTACAAAATGCACAGGTGGCAAGATCTCGCATCATTTTGGACAAAAGGCAAAGTTAAACCAGCCCGTGAGATCTTGCCACCTATGCATTCTGTAAACCAGGTGGTACGAGTAGTATTTTCCATAACAATAACATAAAAATGGAGCATCATAAAAAACTGTTTTTTTAGAGATGAAAAAATTAACTTTTTATTTCTTGTCTACAGCCTGTCGAAGAGCCAGAAAAGATGACTCAGATAATTGTTAAAGCTCTCGAGAATACCGGACAAAGGGGCATCATTAACAAAGGCTGGGGTGGCCTTGGAAACTGTGCGTGTCAACACTTAAATCTCTATGGGTGCAAGCATACATGATTTTTCCTCGTGTATTAATTATTGCTTGACAGTAGTAAACTTCGTACCTAATCTTCGTTTCTCAGTGGCGGAGCAAAAAGACTTCATCTATCTGTTGGATAATTGCCCCCATGATTGGTTGTTTGCTCGATGTGCTGCCGTGGTAAACCACTTCTTACTAATTTCATAAAAGGACAAAGATGAACATATGTGAGCCTGTTTAGCGAAGCTTAGAAGTTCTATTTATAATTAAGTTATAAAATTATTTTTTTAATAGGTCAAAGTTGGAAAAGATTAAAAGTTACATAAGAGATACTTCCAAAATTTATAAACTTTTTTTCTACAATTCTACTTATTTATAAGCTCAGTCAAACATCCTCATTAAGCATTTCTTTTGCATACCATTTTTGTTTCACTTTTGCTAAGTTCACGTGATTTGTTGCATATTTCTCCAGGTGCATCATGGTGGTGCTGGAACAACTGCTGCTGGTCTTAAAGCTGCGGTAATTATCATGCTCTTCAATAACTTCCCTGGAAGCACTTCTTTACAATTTCTAGTTTATGATAAATTTTCTTGCCTATTTCTTTCTCCTCTTACTGCCTCATAGTGCCCGACAACTGTTGTACCTTTCTTCGGAGACCAACCATTTTGGGGAGAGCGGGTGCATGCTAGGGGAGTAGGCCCCTCACCAATCCCTGTGGATGAATTTTCCCTTGAAAAATTGGTTGCTGCGATAAGGTTCATGCTTGATCCAATGGTATGTTATATTTCTTTTAAGATTTAATATCTTGTTGGAGCTGAAATATAGTTTTTGAACACAATTTATTTTAGCTCATTGACTTTCCAAAATCTTGATTGAAGTTTGTGGAACACTGTGCTCAACTTTTTGTCAATTTGTGGCTTCTTTCATCTTACCCCCTAGAATAACTTCATTCTGGCATTTATGAAACCTTTAATTGATTTTGTGGCTTAGCTCCATAGTACTTATTTGTTTGTACCAACCTGAGTTTTAAATGCCAGAATTTTATTCTCAGTCAAAATCATCCTTTCTCATGGCGTCCCTGTTGAACTTGAAGAACGTGGTGGTTAGTTAACCCAATGTGTAAGGATAGGTGGTTGTTTCCTGGTATATTACCACGTGCTATTTGTTAGGGATTAATTCCTAATCCCAATCACAAGAGCAATAATAAACAAACGAAGAACTGAAATATACGCAAACACAGCTGTATAATAGTTCACATCGATGTGAAAGTCACGTCAAATCATTGTTGCAGGTTCAATTTAAAATTGAGAAGAAGTTTACAGTGGAGATCTCATATCTCAATCTGTCTCTATATAAACCCCCTACACTCCATTTCAAGTTCCAAGTTCCTTTACATATGGTAGCAAATTAGGGAGAGTCCAATTTACCATGAAGGTCGATCTGCAGTTGAGGGGTTAGGTAGACCATAAAATTAGGCTTCACACAGTCTGAAGCCAACTTTTCTTGCTACCTAGAGCAGCTTACCGTAAAAAGTATGCGGATATCATATAATGAATAGGTGAATACATACTAGCAATACAAACAAGCTTGGTTCCAATAATTAATAACTAATTAATGACGGAGGAAGGGTGGATGGTTGAAAGGTTACTGTATTTTGAACACTATTGTGAAGATAAATCAATGAAAATGTCAGTCTGTGTATCAATCTTGGCTGGTTGTCTGGCATGTTTTGGGGGGAAATTTCATAATGTTCATATATGAATATATTTTGTATTGTATGCAGGTGAAAGAACGTGCTGCAGAATTGTCTAAAGCCATGGAAAACGAAGATGGAGTGGCGGGTGCAGTTCAAGCCTTCCATAGACACTTCCCATGTGAAAGCCTGAAGTTGGAGCCTGAAAAGTCACATCAACCTTCTAATTCGTTTTCTCTCAGACGCTGTTTTCGTTGTTCCTGATTTTTGAATATTACACATCATAATTTTGTTTTCATCGAATGTAATAACTATCTTATTTTGGAAAAAACTTGCTCTTTCAGCTGTACTAGAATTTTAGGATTTTGATTTCTTTTTATTCCTCCATATTGTCGTTGTCTACACGAATGGGATTGGACTAACCTCGACAACTTTGAAGAAAAGGATAGTTTGTATCAATTTGTTGTATCTTCTATGTTGTTGGGAATAAACAGCCTAAATGCGAAAAATCAATACAAGCATAAATCAGTTCTACAGGTCCATCTACCAATGACAGAACCATACCATGCTCAGAATCCAGAAATCAGCATTAACAATGTAACAATGGCATTTAAAGGATAAACAGAAATGTATAAACAACATCTCTTATATTCAATAATGTAATCCAATATTATCATTAGCATATCAACAGAACATATGAACTATAGAAAACTGAACAGAACATTAAAGGCA